GAAACAGTTTTATGGAATACGTTTGTTACTTCTTGTCTTTTTGTTGGGTTATTACTTTCTCTTTGGTCATTACAGCACATACAAGACTACGGGGAGCTGAGCCTCACCGTTTTAATGTCTCCCCAGAAAAAAGCCTCCCCAAACACCACCTTCCCCAATAGAAATATTATACGAAAAATTCACCTTTTCCAAGTCTCCAAACAACTAAAATAATGACTTTCTTTTTGACGGTATTGACTCGTCTATAAATTCCTGCAAACACTTGAATCCTTAGCAGGCTTTGTTCAGGCAATTCCAACAAAACACTGAGTTTTATCGATAGGTTGCCTTACTACCTATGCATTATGTTGGCTGTAGATGTTTTGAGCTTGGTAGCCATGACTTAGGCATTAGAAGGTTTAGGATTGTGGAAAAAACAGAGTTGAATAAAGCTCAAAACTGAACAATCTTTAAGGAATTAAATCGAACATCTGTTAGGTATAATCGAAATTGAGCAAGGAAAAAGAAATTGAAAATCCAAGTCAATTAGAAGAGAAAAATGCTTCGGTATATCTCATTCAATAGATAAAAAAGGCTTTACAAATAGGTAAGACTACAATTAAATTAAGTCATAAAATAGTAATCACTAAGCCATTTAATCACAAATAAAACACGTAGTACTAACAATCAGGAAATACAAAGACAGGTACCTAACAAATAACTCACATTAATTTTTATGGAAACAAAACAGAAGAGGTTGAAAGCAATTTTGGATTTTGTTTTCAGGCGTGGAGTTGAATTGGTTAAGGAAAATGATAGTAAGTCGGCCAAAAAATGAAGAGATCCCTTTTTAATAGTGTACTGAACTTATCCTATTAATAGAAAATGATAAAACGAACACACGAGATTTTTTCCGGCCTCTCCGTAGTCCTAATGGCTGAGTGTTTGTCTTCAAACTCGACAGAAACACTCGAGTCATGGATTCCAGGTTCGAAGGTCCGGTAAGCAGAACTCAGGAGATTTTTTAGGAGATAGTGGGAATTATGTGGCAATAAGTTTTTGATCAAGTAAAACTTCTTGATCCGTGTGTAACGACATTTGACTGAGTAAAACATCAAAATTTTAAATCAAATATTCCAACACTGAAAAATCCCGATCAAATTTCAAGTCTTTTTTGGACTTTGGATAATATAATTACTTGATGGGATGCCAATTGTAGCCGAAAAAAAAAAAAATTAATGGATACTAATGTTCTGTTTGGTGTCAAATTGTTAGTTTCATTGATATGTGTATATGTTTCAGTGAATGGATGACAGTGTAACGAGACTGTATTAGTGCGAAGATGTACCATAGAATGATTGTATTTAGAGAATTTCAAGCAAACGCATTAATTATATATAACTCATAGTGTCATATTTGATTGGTGGTAACAATTTTTTTTTATCAAATTATATTAAACAAGTAACACTGTTTTTTATCATAAAATATTTCAATCTTATACGATAGTAATAACATACACTTTTGTGTTTTTGGACAATTTTATGGATTTTTTTTTTTCATTTAGTAGGGCACGTAAAGAAACTGCATCTATTTTTCAAGATCATGTAATCATGGTAAAAGTTCATTTAAGACCCATTTAGTATAACAGTTTGAGAATAATAGTTATCAATTTTACTTAAATTACTAAAAATAAATATTTGATAAATTTATTTCAAAATTACTATAAATGAGATATTTAGTAAAACTTTTTATTTAGCGTTTTAAGATTAGTGAATAACGATTAGAGATTAACGAATAACGGTTAGAATCCAAATCAATAACAAATTGAAATTTTTTATTTTGTCGACAAATATATCCACTTTAATTTTTTAATTTTTAGCTCCGGTTTTTAATTAATGTTTATTTAATTAGTTTCAAAATTATTTTTTGTATTTAATAATATAAAGTGATTATTATATTTTTATTTTTACATTAATTTATTATAAATATATATACTAAATAAATAAATTTGTTAATTAGACAAAAAGATTAAAATTAAAATATTTTTACTTTATTTAAACTAATATAATTTTTTCTGTATTAAAAATAAAAATTAGTATATGACTACATTATTATAATTTATTTATTTTATTATTTTTATAAAATTAATAAGTTTAATAATAAAAAATATAAAAAGAACAATTAATTGTTTTTAAACATGTTCTTATTTGTCATTTCATTTTGAACAACAATCACTAATTATTATATAATAAAATAATTATATTGATCGAATTCACTATTTATGATCCACTATTTGCTTTTTGTTATCCACCACTCACTTTTTGTTATTCATCACCTGCTTTTTGTTATTCACCACTTACTATTCGCTAACTGTCATTCACTATTAGTTATTACTATTTCTTATTTACTATTCATTCTCCATTATCCACTATCTACTAAATTTTAATTGATATACCAAACAAGTCCTCAATAAAAAAATTATATAAAGCAATTCCATTTACATTTACCCAAAAAAAGAAAAAAAAAAGCGTATCCATTTACGAATAAAATTCATCAACCGCATATGATCAATCCATCAAAATCAAACAACTAAATTCCAACCATTACAATCAAATCACTAAATCAAGTTCATGCGAAATAGTAGATTTTTTTCATGACACCAAATCAAGCTACAGATTAAAAAAAATGAAAGGCAATCTGCATAATAAGACAGGCTAAATCTAAAACATAATCACCAAGTCAAATTGCAAAATATGAGTAAAACATAAGTAGAATTTAGAATCTAAAGATTTGTTTGGTTGAAGGAATGATAGAGAAATAGTCATTCCATTAACCAACTTTGACAGCTAATTTGGGTTGAGAAATGGTTAAACCCCTAACATGGTCCTTCAAATATTGTATGGACCTCTAAGTTAGTCCTTAATTAAAAAAATTCGTAATTTGATCCCTAAAATTTTTCACTTTAACTTCAAGTCGATCACTCATTTAAAAAACAGCTGCATGTTCCATTACTAATGTGACATATGACTATCAAGCAACAATTTGCCACCATTAAGTAATGGATATGTTTGCTTTTTTAATAGCGAGACTAACTTGAAGCCAAATTTAAAAATTTTAAAGACAAAATTAAGGATTTTTTAGTTTATGGACCAATTTAAAGATTTGTATAATAGTTGAGGGACAAAATTTGGGGGTTTAACCTTGAGAAAAATGTGGAAACGAAAAAGGATTTTCATCCAACCAAATGAAAGCATTAGACGAAAATCTTCATTTAACTGAACGAAAACCATGTCCTTCCCTTCCCCTCACAACCCAAACTTACAGTCAAGAACCTGAAGCTATCTGCTTAGCATGGTAAATATTTGTACATTATCCAGAAGTAGATTCAAAATTATTCCGTCTATCTTTCAAAGTTCTTCTAAGAAATAAAATCAGAAAGCCTCATGTACATATACAACATATCAATGAAATCTATACAGAGATTATCAGATTCAACATTATGCGTATACATTAGAAGGTGTTATAACATAATCATATTACTTTCTAACTCTATTCCACATAGACCTAGATTTACTAACATTTTAGTGGTCATGGCTCTTTGTTTTAGGACATAATTCAATTCTATCATGGCTTTTTTTCCTTCGTTCTTTTTGTTTCCTTGAAAATCATAGCTCTTTTTCATAATATAAAGTATAAAAATAAACCATAATCTCTACAACTTTTAGCTTTACTAACTCAAATCACTTTCCTGAAATATCCATCCATTGAACAAAAGGAAAGTGCATTTTTTCAGCCCCTTCCCCTCAGAAAGGTCCAAAGCCATTAGTGGCTTGAAGTAGCTATTTTGCAATCAATAATTTGATTTTTACAGTGAAAAATGTATTATAGAAGATAAAAACACTTTCTCCATATGGTGCTTAAAAAAGTGAAATAGACAAAAATATATATATATATATATATATATAGAAACTATTTCTAATAGTGATCAAACTTTATCAGGATTGCACAAGCTAATGACTTTTCACCAAATTTTTTTGCAATAATATGATTGCAAAATAATTCAAAAACTTCAAGAACCTCAATCAAATGATTCAAATTCATCCTTTGAAACTTCAAAGAACATCTTTCCACTAATAAGTTCCAAATAAATACATGCATATTGGCCTTTTTTGTATCTGAGCAATCTATCTAAGTAAATGCTTGAGGGTAGGCAAGATAATGAGACATAATCAGTTTGATTAAAACTCTTATTCATGCATTTGAGAAGAATTCTAGCAGATTTCAAAGTGAAGCTGTAGGTGAAAGGATACACTAAAGTCTTCAGTCAAACGATTTTAATAAAACTCTCATTCTGAACATTTTGCTTTGCAAAACAAAACAATCCCCCAAACTCCATTAGTTTCTTGTCAATCAAAAACAAAGTCCTAATATAAGTAGATCTCACAGGTAACTCTCAAAAGATCCCAAACTTTCCGCAATAATTCTTCAAATAAATAGATCACTTAAAGCTCGATAGGAGAGAAAGACCAGAAGACACAAAAATCAGGTTACAAATAGAAGCTACTTGGTGAAGCAGATGGGTCTAAAACAATCTGTTCATTATAAAACTAAGTCCCCTTCTACAAATCAACAACTGAAATTTCACTTTTCTAGTTGATGCTTTCACATTCAGATGAGCTCAAAACAAGAGAACCCTACGTCATAATATTTCTTAATATATTCATAATTAATTACATCACTATTCATACATAAGTTTGCTTATTTAACTAGAGGAATGTGGCAATCTGCTTCGGCAATCCTAACCTAAGCAAAAAACCAAAGTAACAAACTATTGGCAATTCAAAATATGATTCCAAATTCTTGCTGCATCAACAATTCAATAAAAATTACCCTGTTTTGTTCATAGATAAAACAGAACCCTCTACTAATATTCACTTATTGACCCTAATACCAGAAAAGAAAATATGTTTCCCATTATCAGAAACAAAAGTAAGAAATACAATCCAGAATGATAAGGCAATGTAAAGTTTCAAACTTTAATCAATTAGAATTGTACAACTCACCATGAACAGAACTCTGAATTTGAACATTAGCTCAAAATTGAAGTAAGCAACTCCTCATTTTCACATGATTACCTTTGTACTGTCCTATATTCTAGAACTAGTATTTCATTAAATTAACATCTCAAGATCTTCAACCACGATCGACAACAGGAAAATTGTCGTACCAGGCCAAAAACAAAACCAAAATCCTATAAGACCTTAGAATAATTCAGCTAAGTTACACAGCCCAAAATAGTGAAATCAAGAATGAGTGGAAACAGGACTAACCCATTTCGAGTAATGCTTCCTCACAGACACCGCCTTCTCCTGAGTTCTGCTCCCATCGGCATCCTCATACTCTTGCTCTTCTTCAGAGCAAAACTCTCCCTCCGGCAAACCTTCCACCCACGCATCCAGCGAATGCAACACGTAACAAGCCGGCAGCCCAGGATAGGAAACCGAATTCCTCTCCTCCACCTTCTTCTGATAAGAGCCGGGCACAATCTTCACAACCCCACCATCGCCAAAACCTCCCCCAATTATAGACCCAAGTTCTTCTTTAACCGCACGAATCGCTGCCTCCTCAGGGTTCTCACCGGGCTTTACTTTCTCGGACAATGGTCGAAACCGATCCCTCACACTTCCGTCGGACAATTCCTGTCGGGATTCGACTAGTACACGGTTGTCTTTTCCTATTATGCGAACAGTAACGACATTGACGGTGCGAAGTGGACGGGAGGAATCCGCAAGGGAGGTCTCTCCTTCAGAGCGCTCGAGCCAGTGATTAGGTAGTAATTTTTTGTAGTAACCAGTTCACAGGTTGGAATTTTTTAATTTTATTAATAAATTAATTTTTTTTAATTATTTAATTTTTAGTCATGATTTTTAATTA